TTATTAGAATATTAATTCAATTAAATAATAGATATTGCCGTACATATGCATTGATTATATATATTCAAAGTGTTTATGTCCAAAGTTGATTGGACCTAGGGCATAACACTTACAATATTCATCCTCTTCCATGCCATTCCAGCAGGTCTATCCTTTCAATTTCAATTTCAGTTTCTATCTTTTATATTTTCTCTACATGGTATCAGAGCAAAAAGAGCTCCTTCCGTCTGCATTTTTAATACTCTGTCATTTTCTTCTTCTTCAATAATCAAATCTGGAATGAAGAAGTATGCTGGTTTCATTTCGTTTTTCTGCTGGTGCACGTTTTCTGCTATCTGTTCTTCATTTTGTTTTCGTTCTGATGTTCTGCCTCTCTACTGGTTTCTGTATTGCTGGTGTTTATGGTGATTTCAATTTCATAAGATGGTCGTGTGTTCCTGCTGGTTCCATTTCGTTTCTGTTGCTGATCACGTCCGCCAGGTGTTTGTTAAAATGCTTGTAGAGGCACTGGTTAATTTTTTGCAATCCTAGCTGGAGTTTTGTTCTAGCATTTCTAGTTTTTTTTATTTCACTCATCAATGGTGATGATGTATGTCTTCAGCAAATTCCCGGTTGAGAGCCATAGATGCTCCATTTAGTCCGATTTTTATGTTGCTAATTTTTTCTCCTGGAATTCTTCTCTGCTGGCATATTCCCAGCACCTTCTCCAGCTCCTCTCCAGGCTGCCTTCTTCCATTGGCTTCTCCTGCATCTCTGTTCTCTTCTCCAAATTCAAGATGTTCCATCTTGAGGGGGAGTGCTGAAATATTCTCCAGCCTCTCCAGTTCACACGACGAGCAACAACTCCAGCAACAGGTCATCCTTCCAGATCCTTCCAATCACGTTCAGCACATGCTTCTCTCCAACTCATCAGTTCACGTTCTCAGCAGGTTCCCAGCATGATTCAGCACCTCATTCTAGCCTATTTTAGCTCCTTCTAATTGTAGTTAGTCTGTTAGATTTACTCTATAAATAGAGCTATGTAATCA